ACCTTATTTCCTCTGTTTTTTATCTGGCTCTCCCATACATTTTTAAATCAATATGACAATACTAGACTTAAAAGTTGTAATAAGTTTAGTTTTGACTGACTCTTTGAGGTCAGAACATGATTTGACCTGTTAAAGTCAGTTTACAGAACAAAATTTCCAATCAAAGCTAGGTGTACTTCCTTTAATCCAAGAAAGTCCTTGCTTTCAGACTGCTTCTGAATCTGCTATTTTCGAGTTTATTATTTGATAAATTTTTAGAAACAATTAAGTCAAATGATTATTTATTTTAGGGGATCTTAACATATATATCCTGTGTCTTTTATCTGACGTTCCCATACATTCATTTAATATCATATGGCAATGCCCGGCTTAAATATTTCAATAAATTTATTTTAGTTTTGGACTGACTCTTTTAAGTCAGAACATGATTTGACCTGTTTAAAACAAAATACATTTAATATTGAATATACCAAATAAACTTTTTTATAGTCCTCATTATTGTGACTTATGGGGACCTTATTTCCTCAGTCTTTTATCTGGCTTACCTATACATTTTTAAATCAATATGACAATACTAGACTTAAAAGTTGTAATACATTTAGTATGACTGACTCCTTGAAGTCAGAACATAATGTGACTTGTTTGAGTCAGTTTGCACAACAGTATTTACCTCAATGAAATATTAAAATAATAAATGTTTTGCTCTTAATAAATTTAGCTTAAAGTGGATGAGAATATATCTTTTATTAACATAGTCTTATCATGAATAAGTGTCTTGTTTTTCCTTGGAAGATTTGAAGTATTGTCATGGTACTAGTAAATGTATCCAATATTGTATTTTGTAAATCTTTTGATATTCAGAAAATTGTATGATCCATTTTTTCTCACCTGGTTTTTCTTTGTATTTTGAAATAATTGAAAGTGATGAGATAAATATATTATGTTTAGATTCTGGAAAGGAGAAGGTATGATGTCAGATGAGCCCCACTTTTTAAAACTCTTTAATTCGAAACTAGTAATCACCATATTTTTATGGAGATTGATAACAAAGTGGTAGTAATGACTGCTTCAAATCAGAACAAAAATGACCTCTCGAAGTCAAAATGCATTAAAAAGGGGCATAAATCTTATTAGAATATGAAGATATTAAGTCACAATATTTTGTGCAAAAGCTGACCTGTGGAAGTCATTTTATGATTAATTAAAGTCTGACATAAACTGACCTGTACAAGTCATATTCTGTTGAGTGCAAGAAGGGAGACAACACTTACATCAAATTATATCTGACCTATGGAAGGCATTTTATTCTGACTTGTTTATGTCAGAGCTCTGACTGTATATAAGAATCTACATTTAACATACATGTTATACTTACATGAACCTCGTGTACATACTCTGAATAGACTAAAACACAATTCTATGTTCAGTTAGCCCTACATTTGTTCTTTTTTCACCAAAGAACGCTATAAAAATACCCCTGAACTCACCTTAAAAATTTGTTATTATAAAAGAATATAGAAGATATTGCAGAGATGCAGATAACTTTTTTTCCCTGTCAGACATTGGGGCCTGCAAGGTAGACAGTTTTGACAGACCTATCAACTTTTTGCCATACCTACATTTTGATACTATTTTTCTTGTATTTGCTTATTATACAGTTGAAACAAACAAGATAGGATGTCTTTACAGTCAGTCAGGGGTACTACTTGTACAATCGGAATTTTTTGCATCGGAATTAAACATATTTATTCTAAAACCAGTTGTTGGCATGACATGGGTTATGTTCTTCTCATATATTTTATGACGGTATAATACTAAACCCCTAACAGGAGGGATTGTGCCTGATATTCATATGATGAAGACATAATCTTTCAATCAGTTTAATTAAGGTCTGGAGCTGGCATGTCAGTAACTGCTAGTAGTCTGTTGTTATTTATGTATTATTGTCATTTTGTTTATTTTCTTTTGTTTCCTATTCTGACATCGGACTCAGACTTCTCTTAAACTTAGTTTTACTGTGCGTACTGTTGTACGTTTGTTTTTTCTACATTGGCTAGAGGTATAGGGGGAGGGTTGAGATCTCAAAAAACATGTTTAACCCTGCCGCATTTTTGCGCCTGTCCCAAGTCAGGAGCGTCTGGCCTTTGTTAGTCTTGTATCATTTTTAATTTTAGTTTCTTGTGTATAATTTGGAGTTTAGTATGGCGTCCATTACCACTGAACTAGTATACATATTTGTTTAGGGGCCAGCTGAAGGACGCCTCCGGGTGCGGGATTTTCTCGCTGCATTGAAGACTCATTGGTGGCCTTCGGCTGTTGTCTGTTCTATGGTCGGGTTGTTGTCTCTTTGACACATTCCCCATTTCCATTCTCAATTTTAAGTAATCTTTATTTACTTGAAGAAGTAAAAAAAATATACTTATATAAGTTAATTATAATGTTTGAATAATCTCCCCTTAATTTTCTCAAAAATTCACTTGTATAAGTAAATTTTTTTTACAATCCCACAAAAATTCTCAAGTTTTGAGATGTAAAAACATGCCTTTAATGATTTTTCCCAGGTTAGCTCATAATTTTTTATTAGATTTCAATGTTTTATCTCATTAATTCAACAAAGAAACTGATTGCGCAAAGATCTTAAGTATTTGGGCAAGGCCTTCAAAAATTGCTCATTGGGGGCTTGTAAATGAGCAGTGTTCTGAAGATAACAGACAAATGAGATTTTCATTGACCATGAAATTACACTTACATGATTAGTTAAGACATCTGCAAAGGACAGACAATTTAAAATTCTATTAGAGCAAAGAAGTCTTAAGAATTCAAGAAAAGAAGATAGGATGACTTTTTCACTTATATAAGTAAAAAAATCTGAATGTCTAAGGGACATAACTAAGCCATTTTTTTTAACTATACAAGTAAATAAAATACACTTGTATAAGTATCCTACAAATTTACTTATATAAGTATATTAATATTACTTCTTCAGTAAATAAAAATTGCTTGTACAAGTAGTACCCCTGACTGACAGTGACTGCTGCTTAAGTGGATATCGTCATTCTTGCCTAAATTTTTAGGATTTTACTAACATTCAATTGAATTCTTTCATTTTTATAACATGTATAATATACTACATAAAACAGTACAACTAATATAAATCATTCTTAGACCCCTCCGTAAATTTAATTGGCCATTCAGCCATGCTACCGGTCACAATAGTAATATTAGGGCTCACAGAGCCTCACACTACTTCAGAATCATAGGGAGAAGTGACTTCTCTTTTTGAAACTGAGGGGAGAAGTGGTGAGATTTGAAAGAGAAATGCTCGTTCGCTTGCAGCGCTTCAATGTTTGGTTTTTACTATAATACAAAGGGCTATATGTATCTTATTTTTTTATATTGTTCAATTTGTACCTGGGAATACAATAAAAGTAGCAGTTCAAATTCAAAGTTGTTTAATTTTATCATATCTAGTTGCACAATCATATAAGTCCTCTTGACAGAAAAAAACAGTTAAATATCTAGCAATTATTAAAAAAAATATTTTCATATCAAAAAGGAAAAAAAGTTATATCATTTAAAATTAAATTTAAAATGTACTCTGTTATCATGTTTATGAAATTCAGTGTTTCTCAATAAAAAGATCTATATATTTAACACAGTTAACTTGGACATAGTATAATAGTCCCAGAGTTGAGCAATTTAAATTAATAAATTGAAACAATGCATCTACATGGAAATATATACATTAATCAAGTAGATATAACCAAAAAGTATGTTAATGCATGTGGAATGCTTAATTTAATGCAATACATGGATAACAAATTTCATCAAGTTCTAATGAAGTAACAAACTTACTAAAAAAAACTAATACATTTAATATATTGTTATATATACTAAATATATTTTACAGGAAAAGATATGAAAAAAAGTCCAGAATATGAACTGGTTCTCCAGATTAAGCGACAGAGACGGGAACAGAAATGTTTACCAGACGATTTCTGAAAGTTAAAAACAATTTGATAAGATAATAAAGGATTTTCTTGATAAAAGTTATTCAGGACTTACAGATATTTAACTTTTGCCAGACCCAGGCTATCAAAACACATGCCGGTCACTCGGTCTTGCACAAAAGCCCCATTTGCTGGACCTGCTCAAATTCTGCCCCCTTGGACCAACAGGTCCGACGATTAGCTGCATCTCTGATGTTGTATGATTGCCAATGACACAACTATCCACAAAAGTGTAAATGAAGTGGATGTAAGCAATTATAGGCAACTGTACAGCTTTCAACAATGAGAAAAATACTTACCGTATGGTAGGCTATAAAAGGCCCTGACATGAAAAATATGAAACTATTCAATTGAGAAAACTAATGGTTACTTTATGACAGTTTCCAAAAAAACAAATATGACAGACATGAACCAATGACAGCCACTGAAAGCACTTACATACACTCATGTGTACCAGTAGTAAATGCTGGCAGAGCAAATACTGTGAACCTACATGTATACATGGTATCAGTGGGATTCAAACCCTCAATCTTGGGATCTAAAGGCAGTGCTCTAACTGATTGAGCAAAAGAAGATCTGGATCAACTGAACTTGGAAACCACAATACTTGTATACTAGTATTGTCAACAATACTCGTATATAATTAATGTACAAGTATTGATAAAAAAAATAAAAAATCAATATAGGGTTTGTTATTATTGCAGGTTAGTCCGAGATTAGTCTGATGTCCAACGACTGTTTTGCCAGACAAAATACACAAAATGTGAATTTGAGATTGCTTATTTAACTTATTGATAATCGAATCAAGAAATGGCAAATCAGGATCAAAACATTCAGGAAAGGGGTGAGTTGGTCTTCATTTCTGAAATTCTGTATTGTTTTCTTGTTTGGCCCTTTATAATTCTCTGTTCTGTATTTTTTGTTTGCCTCATTTTCTTTATTTTGTTTTGTAACAGGGATGTAAAACTACAGTATATTGAATGTGATCACCTTTGATGTCGCCTATCTGTTCTTCTTATTTACATTTGAGTCCTTCATCTGGTCTGTGTTCATGTCATTCGTAAACTGAGTTGGAAAAAATAAAATTCTAAAAATAGATTATTCGGAATTGCATATATTAAATGTGTACCAATGACGGATAAGAACTGTATTTGTATCTGTTTATCTCCGCCAATCAAGGCACACCTCCAACATTTGGAGTAATATAAAAGGTAATAAAATTCTACCGCTAAAACGATTGTTTAAACTTATAAACCGAATAGTTTTTGCACCAAACCCCATATCTATTAAATATCAATTACTATACAATGTTTAGTTTATAATGATTTTATTAAAAAAAGAGGCATTGCTCACCGCCTGAAAAAAAACCGACACAATCTAAAAAAACTAAAGAAAATAGAAAAAAAATAAAAATATCAAAAATAAAAATAAAAATAAATGAATAAATTAAAATGATTTTTTAAAAATTTTATCCTCAGAACTGTCATACTGCGTCTCATATTCGAGACCACAGCACAAATTATAGCCCAGCAAGAATTTCAAAATAACATAGTCTTCGTTTGGATAATGGCTAGATTTTTTTAAATATTGATTTGGATGCAAGACATGACAAATTCTAATGTAGGAAACTTTTTGGCTAAAATTCAGAATCTTCAAAAACATTAATGACAAACATGATTTTTATATTTTTATATTGAAAGTGTTTCTCTTAATGAAATGTTTTCCGATTTTTCTAAACCCAACTCTGCCACCACAGCACAATTTATGTTGTTTTTTTTAAATTCTGTTCATACAAGGTAAATATATATTTGAAACATATGATAATTTTAAGCATAAATCATCACAAAACTTAATTGTAAGAAGAAGAATTTTTGAGTTTTGAAAGATTTCAATTTAAGAATCACGTTCGTGTCTCATTAAGGTATAAGCGTGAGGCATGGTCAAATAAATGATGAATCCTTGACTAAAAAATTTTGCAACTTCTTCTTCTTCTTCTTCTTCCAGGTAAGGAACCGGATTCAAAACTGAATGTAATTGGTTCCGCGCGAAAACTTGACGCAGTGTCGGGTAAGTTCTCTCTTGGCTATTTACATTAAAACGTTTTCAATATAATACAATTAAAATTATGTACAACTGGTGTTGCCTACTTCCTTTCAGAGCATATCTTTAGGGCAGCCCTGAATCCCTCTACAGTGTTCAGTCGGAAAGCTGACCCCGGTTTGACCCCATTTCTTAAAGCAACAATGGAAGTCATGTGATTACCATATATGGGCATTTTTTTACCAAAAAAAGTGAAGCCCGTTTTTTGGAATTTGTAGTTTTTTGCATGAACTAAAACTAATTTGCTTTTAAGTGAACATTCTTGAGTATATACGAAATATATTGATCCACTCAATTATGGATTAAACTAATTTTTTCTCTCAAAATGTGTCTTCAAAGTCTAGGTGTTGACCAAAAAAATCGGTCACTGGAAATTAAAATCGTAATTTTCTTTCTTAACTTCTCGGGAAGCTATGCTGAATTTAAATTATGTTATGTAACATAACTTTGACTATGATATGTCAAATTTGTGCCACTTAATACGCTGTAATACGCAAATGTGCCACTTCGATGTGTCGATATTTCTGAGGAAGCGGGGCCGATAGTAATTTAGCAACAACGGTCGTTTCTAAGGGCTTGCTTTCCGACTGTAAGATCATGCTGGATCTTAAATAGCATGCATAGTCTGTTTGTTTTCCTCAGTTCTTCGAGGCTTTCCCATTTTAGAGTTTTGACCATATTTGTGACACAGCCAGGTGTTCGGTCTGTGTAGTTGTTATTCACAAATCGTGCTGCAGTGGTGTAAAATATGAATATATTGTTTGGGCTGTTCCGATCGTACTCCCGCGTCATTACATATGCTTTTTTAGAATGAGCTACCCGACGTCATAGAACGATGACGTAAGAATATAAGCATTTTACGGGAAAATACACGCTTGTGAAACCGAAAATCATCACAACAAGGAAACGTAAACAAACGATGCAAAAATGTGTTATATAAGCAATTTTTTGTATACATATAAGACATATAAGTACAATTATCATTTAGATTTATCCAAACCTATCTATCCCAAGTTTTTTTAGGGGAAGACGGAGGGGAGGGGTTGAAATGAATTATATTCAGGTTTTCTATTTGATTAGTGACATACGACATTAACCCTCTTGCTGCCGAGTTTTTTTCTTGCTTTGTCGCGCCAGAAGCATCTTGACGTTTCATATCTGTGACGTTGCAAAACTTGTGCCTCTCTGTAGAACAGCGCTTTCCCGCCGTCCATAATTTTTCCCGCGTCAATGTAGCCGTAATTATGAAAAGCGATGTAAAAGTAATTTTATGAAAACTATTGCTATAAGATTGTTATAAACGATGTTTTTAATACAATATTATTTAAAAATACAACTTTTAACCTTGAAATATATTTTTTTTTATCTTTCTTGTCTTTAAAAAAAATGAAAATAATATACCCATTGCTACTAGCTATATAAGCGCTTTTGTTTTATCTTTGTCAAGTGAAATACATAACTGATTCTTAACCACCTCTAAAATACTAAAATATATTTATCCTTGTTATCCGATTAGCTTAGTAAACCTTCTTATAATTGTTAAATACCGTAAAAAAATCTCTCAAATAATTATATAAACAAAACAACGGCCCCCAATAAAAATAAAAATAAAAACAATGAGTGTACAAATAAAAATAATTAAAAACTCCGAACAGCCGATTCTATGAACTACTTCTTGTTGTAAAGTATCAAACGTGTCAGATTAAAATTTTCATTCCAAGCCTTGTTTCGGTAGGCGAGAAAATAATTTTTATAGACGTTATTATCCATATTCATTTTGTTTATTTTTTAATCATGTTTATTATTATTTTGTTGACCACTTATTGCTCAAAATTTGAGAGAAATGTTTGAAAATACGAATTTAAAAAAAAACAGAAAAGCGAGGGAAGAAATTCTCTAAAATTAATTTCTATTGTCTACATGTGAACCTGAATCAATAATAATTCATTTTCATTTTCTATGATGAAGTACACACTGTAATTGGCATACACGAAATATCTTTTAAAATCTGTTGATTGATAAATTTTTCTCTTCTCAACGTTCAGTGGCAAGTATTTCATGCAATATTAAGGACGTTTGATATTTTATGTACAATAAATCTGTTGCTCAGTGGGTACTACAAAGTAAAAGATCTGTGATGAATGGCTGAAAATTTAGGTTGCCACTGGGAAAGACTGATATGTAGGATAGAAAGAGAAATCATTGGGTCACCTACTAATTTAACATTCCCATTTCGAATGAAAATAAATAGTTTTAGATTAGTGCTTCAATGATGAAACGGGTTTAAAATGTATTGAAATATCGTATGGCAATACAAGTATATCGGGTAACATTTGTGTACTTTTACACAAAAAAAATCTTCACTGAGAATTCAATCGCGGCATTTGAGCCCTAAAGAAATTTTCCAGTTCTCTTAAATAAAGCGTGCATTGTGAATATTAATATTTCGCGTAATCAAGTATAACAGTTACCTTTTCTATGATTATTTATTAGGAATGCGATTATTATATGAGATATTCTGATTGAAAGATGTATGAAAAAAACGTTTAACAAATTTCTCGAAAGTATGCAACATTTTACATGAAAATGACGAACTAGATAATTAGTAAACACGTCAAATAAGTTGGCATTATAGTACCAACAATCTTATGATCCTGTAACATTTTTTGACATCCGCTGTAAGTGTACAAATAATACATTTTATTCAGTTTGCTTCATTCCCTCTAAAATCGTCCTTTTGGCGCCGTCTTTTGACGTTGTCAGTGCCCCTCAGTATTGTGACGTTACCATGGACCTTTGACGTACTACACAATCAACAAGATTTGTGTGTAGAAGCCATAAATGTCCCTTTGGCAGCAAGAGGGTTTTAATGATAACATATTTTAGTTGCTATATTCCTATGTAATATATATTGTGATAAACGAAATTAGCATAATATAGTTGCTATATTCATAAACATATAGTATGTAATTATTGCGCGAAAGTAATATTTTGTAAATAAGCCGGTTAGCAAACATATTTTACAGAATAAACATACCCTACATTTGTATCTAGGCTTATCACAGTCGTTGTTGTAAAGGAATAATATATTTGATACCATAGCTATGAGTTTGTTAAGAGCTGTAATGTTGGTATCCGTTTTTCTTTTGCTTATTATACATTGCGATGGTTTCCTTCTGGACACAGGGAAAGGGCAAACATCGAATAGTAATGAATTCCTTACAGAATCGGAATTTCTACAGGCAAAACGGTTGCTACAACAGGAAACTAACGATTTACGACTTGATGTGGACAAAACTATCGCGTTATTGACAACTCAGTTGAAAAATAAATTTGACAATCTAGAGCAAAAGTTGTCTAATGTGGACAATAATGGAACAAACCAGAATACTATGCCTACGAATGAATATCGGACCCTGGAACAGAAATTAAAGGAATTGCTAAATGATAACGCTGATCTGAAACGAGAAAACATGATTATGAAAAATGAAATGGCAGCAATGAGAAATGCACTGTCAGCATTGAATAATACATCATCCGAACATTCTCGAAAAATTCAGGACCTCCAAAACTTAGGGAGTATTAAACCTTTACTCGAAATCAGCGTTTTACAACAAAGTGTAAAGTATAATTCTGAAAGTATTCAGTTCCTGTCTATGCATGAACAGGCCCGTCGTCAGGATTTTCTTGCCCTGTATAATATGACCACTAACTCATGTAGGAGGTTAACTGAACTAGAAACTAACACCAGTGGTCGAATACTCCAACACCAAACATACATAAACACTGATGAATTTGCAGACAACTTACAATGCCTCGTTAAAAGGAATCAAGGAAGCAATGAAGGGAGAAAAAGGTACTTTTAAAACAGATATATAGATTCGTACAGTCACTGCAATAATTAAGTATGTTATGATATTTCTCCACTCGAGACAGTTAAATTTTATTATTTAAAGCTCGATGCTTGTCGAGCTTTTTAAAGAATTAAAA